GGGGGGGGGGGGGGATTGGCAACAGCAAGGTTTCCACTGCAGACGGTCATCAGTCATCAATTCAACATCCGTTAGCCAGGTTGTCATCTTCTACCTACGGCTTTAACGGCGGCTTGTGCATGGTAGGTACCCCCGTCGGCGGCTTAGGCATGAAGGGAGGAAGGTAGAAGGTCGCGGTGGTGGTGGGGGTGGNNNNGGGGGAGGGGAGGTGGCGGAGGAGGACGGGCAGAAGAGGTAGCGGAAGAGGACGGAGTGGTAGAGGAGGTGGCAGAGGAGGAGGAAGTGGGTTTCGGGGAAAGACCGTCGTGAAGTCATTGTCCCTGCCTCCTCCGGTGCCGGCCGCTACTTCTGCCGCTACCTATTTCCGGGGCAAGGTTGGGGGGAGGGGGGGAGTGCGCACGGGAGAGCGCAGTAGGTAGGTCTACAGTACTCGTAGGTGGCTAATGTCTCAGATCTGAATTTGGTAGTGCACCCGTTGCATTCCGGCCCCGCCGCTTCACTCTCATCGAACGGCAGCTCGTCATCGGCATCCTGGGGCCGATGGCCGGCCAGCACCTGGAATTCTACACTCTAGTGCGTAATTCACTTCGAATATAGGGATATTATGGGCCCTAAGATTTGTATTGTGATGAAAAAATGTCGAGTTCGGGCCCTTTGCCCAAGGAAAAATTAGAGACTCTCGACAACTCGAGGCTAGTGAGAGAAAAAAGAAAAGAACCTGTCGGGTTGTTGGAGAGGATGTTAGGGGGACTAAAGATTCAGAAATGAGACGTATGGTAAATTAAGACTCCGTAGTACCGCATACGTCCCTCCGTTGCGCCACCGCGCAATCAACATCCATGAGGAGTGATAAAAGTCGTTATCACACAATGTGAACAATTTCTGAACCTTTCTACTGCAAATAGCAATTAAATTTTGCTCAGTAAGAATAAAACAATCAAAGAAAAAAGTCAGGTTCATTTCTTGAAAAATCCATAATTTATCGAAGAAATGTAGGCAACAACAAGGTTTTCATGGCAGCTGTCCATCAGTCCTCCATCCAGCATTCTTTGGTTAGGTTCTTGTTTTCTATCTACGGCTTCCCCGTGGGCTTGGGCATAGTAGGTAGCCCCGTCGGTGGCTTCAGCGTGAAGGGCATGAAAGTAGTAGGTCGCGGAGGTGGCGGAGGAGGACGGGACGGCGGAGATGGTGGAGGCGGACGGGACAGCGGAGGTGGCGGAGGAGGACGGGACGGCGGAGGAGGACGGGACGGCAGAGGAGGACGGGACGGCAGAGGAGGACGGGACGGCAGAGGAGGACGGGACGCCGGAGAAGGCGGAGAAGGCGGAGGAGGCGGAGGAGGCGGAGGAGGCAGAGGAGAAGGAGGTGCCGGAGGAGGAGGAGGTGGCGGTGGAGGGAGAGGAGGAGGAGGAGGGGAAAAGACCGTGATGCAACCGGTGTCTCCGCCTCCTCCATTGCTGTAGCAGGCACTGCCGATGCCACCGCCCACTTCTGGGGCGAGCGGGGGTGAGCAGGGGAGAGCGCAGTAGTTGTGTCTACAGTACTCGTAAGTGGCCAAGGTTTCACGTCTGCAAGTGGCGATGCATTCAACGCATTCCGGCCCTGCCGCTTCATTTTCGTCGAACGGCACCTCATCTTCCGTGTCCTGGGGCCTGGGGTCGGCTAGCACCTGAAAAAGCCAAGCATTAGTATGCAATTTTCGAGGGAGGTAGTGGACACGCCCAGCGTTAGGTTTTTCGGTTGGGATTTTTGGCATTAGGGCTACCTGAGCTTACCTTTTTATATACAGTAGGATATTCTACTTTTTTTCGTATATTTTTTCTTGTCTGTTCAAACACTGATCCTTCAAGTTCAAAGAAGCTATGCCCTCGCCCCTTCTAAAGTGGGAAAATTCCTTTCGAGTTTCCTTTCTGTGAAAAAGAAGGTTTATCGAGAGAAAAGATACATAATTATTTGGGATTTTCTGAACCAGTATTGCAATTGCGTTATAAGGGGTGCGTAGGTCTTGAAAAATCGATGTACGTAATGAATGGACAGTCCCGAAAACTGATAGTTTATGGTTTTGTTCCCCATGGGAAAACTGTACTAACTGACAAACACGTCACTCTTATTGCGTTTCTGTGCGATCTGCGACACCCAATCGCCACTGACAGCAATTCTGCCAGAGCTCCTCCGGCATATCACAACTCCCCCATTTCCTGCTTTATTCTCTCAATCCACGATTTGGCAGGGCGTCCTCTACGTTTTCTGCCAGGGACACCCAATCCAGAACCTTCTGAGGTAACCTGTCATTTGGCATCCACTGTGCTACATGCTCATTGCCTATTGATACCAGACAAGCTGTTTCGTGAAAATGTCATGCCTTCTGTCGTTTTCGACGCCCACAAAATCACGTACCCTTTCACTCCGAACGTGATACTTTCTCGGCACTTCGGCTGATCTGCGCCAAGAAGCCTACGAATGGGCTGTAACAGTCGTTAATTAAACTCCAGCAAGAACCCTTGTCATTGAGGTTAGGACGAGAACAGATTCGCCCTCGCCCATCGATCGGACGGTGGTTCCATTTGGGGTACACTATTTCAAAGGCCACCATCAATTGTAATCGTTGTATTGTTGTGTTTCACCCGTTTTTTTGATGATATAAATGTCATTTTTCGAGGATTTCGATTTCCAGGACCACAACCCTCTAATGACTCCTACGAAAGAGATCGAAGGATTACGACCATAAAGTATGGACTCCGTTGAGTGAATTACCGATGATATCATCTTTGTTTGGAAATTTTTAGTCAATTTTGCAATGAAATACTAAAAAACGAGCTGCAAAGGGGGCATCGAGGAGGAGTCATCGTTTGAGGCGCGAAGCGACTCGGAGGCCAGACCGCGAGGCGGGGAGCATGTCTCGTAGCCTCCTTGTTTATCGAATTGGCGTTTGTTTTCATATTTGTTTATTGCGTGTACCATCCTCGACAATTTTTTAAATCTCCTGTTTCTGTGCGTTTTATAACTGCATAGCCATATCGTGGAATCGTCAGTTTCCGGCTCACCACGTGATCATTTTTTGATGCTCAGCGGGTACGGTCATACAGAGGTATGACCTTTTTCATCGAATGCACATATGTCACTCTAACTGACTGACGGACCGTCTCAAGACAATACATCTTTTAAATTGACTTTTGCGAAGTGCTCCGTAGTATTCCACCATAAAAATGGAGGGATGGACCCTTTTTGTCTTGTGAATTCATGTAAAAAATGACTTTACACACTCATTTTTAAAGAACTTGAAAATTTCATAAAAGATTTCAGTGTTAATATTTTAACAATTATTCTTACCTATAGTATTTGAATATATCTAGTAAAGATATCAGACGATGATATCTCAAAAATATTCTTGAGACGCTACTAAAATGTCCCACCAAAAATCAAAACTAATATCTTTTTAAGGATATCCTCAAGATATATCTCATCAGTCGGCATTTTGTGGTGTCTCCTTCGGACGGATACCAATCGAAGAATCGTTTCAGTAACTTCCCTGCCGTCAGTACTGAAATTGTTTACACATGCCCGTACCACACTAACTGTCTTTTGGAGATGAATTCTCATGAATTCTCCAATTATGGACACGGTTCCTCCTAGAGATACCGGCAGACCGCCGTCCCGCCGAAACCAATTCCGTTTGCCCTCAACATGTCCTTAAATCCCTTTATCAAAGACCTTTAGTAGCAATATATTATTTACGACAACGGCATTGATTCGACGCTTGTTTACCTTTAAAATGCAATGATCTCAGTAGTTCCCGGTCAGAATTGCAAGGGCCCAACCTCCCCAAAAAAGGCGGGAGAAAAATATTGAGGGGGTTTAACATTTTATTCTCTAGAAACTACGATCTGCCTGCTCGAAAATTTGTCAAAACTATACCATTTGTATCGTTTATTGTTAATTATATATTTTTGAGGTAGTGGATCATTGTGATCACTCTATACATTAGAGACCTACAAAACCTGTTTATTTTTCATAATTTTCCTTTGAAGATCTCTTTCGGCCCATCTTAATCGTCATAAGAACCTCGTCATTCCTCTCCGAGGAAGAGAGCTATTTAAGGAACGGCTCTGGATGCGACCCCACATCCGATTTTGCAATACCGACAATATTATGAAAAAAAGTAGATACAAACCCATGACACGGCGACGGCGAATAGGAGGAATAAAGCACAGAGCTTCATCCTGAGGTTGGTGACTCTCAGGACCGATGCACGGGAACTAAGTCACATGTGAATTCTTTTCAATTGAGGATTCAACGAAGGAGAACGTTAGAGCCCTCAAAACCGGCTTTAATAGAGCTAATTGAGTGCAATCCACTCTTTTAATGACATTTTTTATGGCACTGATTAGCTCATAACTAAGCCTGAAGCTCTGCCGGAAAGTATTATTTGCAGTCAACAACTATCTTTCTACGACTAGATTAACATTGGATAAAATAAAAGAAGCGCACATCAAAACGGGTTCCATGTGCGACAAATAACGAAAGAGAGACACTAGTAGCACGCTTCGGGTCAGTCACTTGCGCATCGTAGCTAAAATTAATACAAATAACATTGCATTCGACATTACCTTCCAAGGATAGGGAAGCCTGCCAAGGGTTCGTTTCCAAGGATGGTGGGACGTGTTGCGTTTTTGTTGCGAAACTCACAACCGTCAGAAATAGATGAAAGAGCTTGGTGCAAAAAAGACTTTTTTCGCCATCCCTCTGGAATTTCTTCAGACTTTGTCTATTGATTACTCATACTTGAGCGCTTCTTTTCCAAAATTTTCAGACCCCCAAAAAATGTTGGGGGGGGGAGCTAGGGGGGGGGTGGAAGTCAAAACCTGTGAACCTCGATATCTCTGGAAAGAAGAATGATATCGAGGGCCGGTTTGGGCGAAAAATCGTCTAAAATTGCATACAGTAAGATTCTAAAGGGCGAAATCCCAATATCGCATTTTAAAGTTAACATATGTGCTTTTTTCCAGTTTTTAGATCTAGAAAATTTCTTTTAACGAATAATTTACTAAGATCTCAATTTTTTATTTGAACCGAGACCAGTTTTGTAAAGTGTTCGTCTTTTCCCGCATCCAACGAGTGGTCCATTAAGCTGGGGAACCAAACGGTTCCGGAGTTATGATCGATTGAAGTTCCCGCTTAGCGCGCGCCGACCGATTTTTGCGCGCAAAAAAGTCGGATTTGACTGTTATGAAATCAGATTGAATGTTCTAGCCGAGCAAAATGCATTATTAGGGACTCTGGAGGGTCGCTGAGTTCACAAATTACAGATACTTCCAAAAATTCACTTTTTTAAAATTACGCGGCCGGTCGGCGCTCAGTGGGCCTCTGAGATAGCGCCACGGAGTTGTAATTTTTAAATAAGTGAATTATTGGAATTATCTATAATTTGTGAATTCAGCAACCCCCCAGAGTCCCTAGAAATGCATTTTGCTCGGCTAGAACATTCCATCTGATTTCATAACAGTCAAATCCGACTTTTTTGCGCGCAAAAATCGGTCGGCGCGCGCTAAGCAGGAACTTCAATCGATCATAACTCCGGAACCGTTTGGTTCCCTAGCTTAATGGACCACTCGTGTTATGCGGTAAAAGACGAACACTTCACAAAACTGGTTTCGGTTCAAATAAAAAATTTAGATCTTAGTAAATTATTCGTTAAAAGAAATTTTCTAGACCTAAAAACTGGAAAAAAGCACATATGTTAACTTTAAAATGTGATATTGGGATTTCGCCCTTTAGAATCTTACTGTATGCAATTTTAGACGATTTTTCGTCCAAACCGGACCTCGTTATCTTTCTTCTTTCGAGAGATATCGAGGTGCATAGGTTTTGACTTCCACACCCCCCCCCTCTAGCTCCCCCGCAAAAAAAAAATTTTTGGGGGTCTGAAAATTCGGAAAAAGAAGCGCTCAAGTATGAGTAATCAATAGACAAAGTCTGAGGAAATTCCAGCGGGGGGGGGGGGGGCGAAAAAAGCCGTTTTTGCATCAAGCTCTTTGAAAAGGAAAAACTGTGTAAAAAAAATGTCGGTAACCATTGAGACCGTTTACGTTTCCAGATCCTAGAAATCGTCCAGTATTGAAAAAACTCGACTTCCAGGGGAAATGATGAACTTGACTTTTCACCCTGAAATTTCCCTTGTTTCAAATTTTCGCCCAGCTGTGCCCTCGAAAGTGTAATTCCCAGGACTTTTTTGCCTCGTCAATTTTTTTCCTTCTCGCTGAAGAACTTTAAGGAAATTCGTGCGATATTGTGTTTACATGATTTTCCATTGAGCTTGGAAACCGTTTATTCCATAATAACGCCCCTTGCCTTTTTTTTCAATAAATTACGTCAGGTAACGTGTATGATGATGGTATGAGCTATTTCAAATCATTCAAAATTCAAGCTTGAAGAGCTATTTTTGTTATCTATGCTTTATACAGATTTATTACAGATTGAATCATAGGCGGTTCTACGGGGGTGCCAGCGGGTGCCGGGCACCCCTAAGCAAAAATTAAGTACGGTTACTGGAACCGTGTAAGAGGCTTTCGGGCAAGTAAAAACGTCGAGAAAAAATCGTATTATGAAGCGCAAAAAATTGGCAGTATTTTTATTTCATGAATTTTTGAAATCTGCAGGGGTCCAGTATTCAATGATTTTGGGCAAAGGGTGATGGGAGGCAGGAATCTCGTCGAAAGTTGACTTCTGGTAAATCGTGAGGTATAACATGCCATGATGCCGTTCGTAGAGAGCAGTTGCTCTTGAAATAAGCATCGAAGACATTATTGAAGAGTTCAAGAGGATGCTGCCGTTTGAACGGAAAATGCACTTGTAACGTTATAATCATTTGAGTGTGAAACTCTTATTTTTTTTAAATACGCACATAGTTTATTCCCTCGAAAATCGAAGTGCACGAATAAATATAATTACCTTCACTTCTATCTTACTTTTTTATCTTCTACCTTCACCTCTATTTATTGGTTTTTAACCGGTACGTATAGAATGCAATGTAAAAAGGACCAAATTACTGCTTTCAAAGATTCTGTATTCGCTCACTGAGAAAAAATCCCAGCAATGAATTGAAAATGTTTAAAACAGAATTAATATTCATAGCCGTGTTTTAATTAATATTCATAGCCGTGTTTTACAAAGATTCTACTGTTTCCTTATTATAAGATTGTAGTTTTGATGGAAAGTTTTGCTAAAAATTTTCTACATTGAATTTATAGGTATTTAAGTAGAAAGGAAGGAGAGAAAAAGGGAGAGGAGTTTAGGAAATAGATAAAACTTGAGGGCCGAAACTTAGGCCTCCCCTGAGCGAACATCCCTTTCGGGGCCGGCCTCCGACATCTCCCACCTCTGCGCGCTCCCAACCATGAAGGTCTAGAACCGCCTTTGACATTAATCTAATCTAAATGTGTTAGGCCCCTTATTTCCGTCATCTTTTTGTTGAGCTGGTGCACAATTTGAAGCATTGCCACTGGTATTGTAGAATTTTAGAGCAAGGTTGAAATCAAAAAGCGCCCCGCTGAGTGCTAATAACAATACCTACATGAAAGCGTGAGCACGTGAAAATTAACGGTGTATCAATCAAAACAGCCGTAAGGAGTAGCATACCTCCAAACAGCCTAGGTATTAGAACTGATTTTATAGTAAAATGGCCCTCTGGCCTGCCAATTTCTAACCTTAACATTTGTTTATTGATTGCCCGAAAATCAATCACGATATCATGCAAAAGATCTTACCGACGGCTATCTTGCGAAACGTTAGCCTACCATAAAAATGAAAAAGGTCGTTTTTATGAAGTTGAAAAATAAATTCGTCAATTTTCAAACACCAAAAGCATTTACATGATTCCCTGGTTGATAATTGACAATCTTACAAAAAACCAATGACTTGCAATAAAATTCTGTTCTCACACACTGAAGGTCCATTTTCTCAAAACTTCATTTTTGCACTTACAGCTTTCGTGGCTATTAAGTAAAAACAAGCAGTTCCAACGCCAAAGCGTTGGAGGGCGCTTCTTTAACACTGCGAGGGACGTTTTCATACACCTTTATCTTACGAGGTTGCAGACATAAGTGAACTTGAAGAAGAGCTCCAAAAAGGAAACTGGAAACAAGCTGATAAATCCAACACGTGGTGCTGGAGGAGCGCGCCATAAGAATATATCTGCTTTATCATATTCAGGTTTATCGTTGTTCTTACTTACAAAATGAGATAGAACCGCCTAAATGAGTCTGGTTAGCACCCTAGTAGCAGAGTTATATAAAAAATTTGTTTTTAAAAGTATAAACCGTAAATAACCACAAGCTAAAGAATATTCATTGTTTATGTAATGGATGTAAAGTTTTTTAGTTAAAAGTTTACATTATTATGTAACCCTTAGTATAAAAGTTATATAACCAAATTCAAAGAGTGTATAAAATGAATTTTCATTATTCTTCCTGGCTGGTAGCGCACTCTAGTTATGAAGTGTGCAAGTTTTCATATGCGTTACTACCAGGTGGTGGATCATCGTAGAGTTGTGACTTACCTTAAATCCGCGCCGTCCTAGTCGGGATTAGAACCCACGCCTCGGGATGGAGTTGCAATCCGAAGTCCACTACTTTACCACCAGACCAGCCAGGCTTGATATGGATGGGCCCCTAAATTCAATCTCTTAACTATCGCAGGCCTCTGAGTCCGTAATATGTTTGTTTATTGACGGATTCTTATGATATTTTACCAGACTTTATTATTTATTATTTATCTATTTATTGTTTTTTATTTCATGATGTAATTTTTTCATTTTCATTTTTTTTTAACTCTCTCTCATTTTTTTAGCTCTCTCTTTTTTTAACTATCATGATTTTTAACTATCATGATTTTTAACTATCATTTTTTCTAACTCTCTCTATTTTTTTAACTCTCATTTTTTTAACTCTCTCTCTCTCTCTCTATTTTTTAACTTTATAATTGCGTCTTTTCCCAGTTTCAATTATTTGGGCCTTTTTCTAGTTTGAATTTATGTCGATGTATTTATGTTATTTATTTATTATTATTATCATTTCCTTTTTTCTTTTAAATTTTTATAATATTAATTTAAACATTTTAAAAAAAATCAAAATTTTTAAAATAATATTTAATAATATTTTTAAAATATTAACAAAAATAATTATGATATACTTTAAAAATATTATAAAATATTATTTTAAAAATTTTAATTTTTTATATTTTTAATATATTTTTAAAATGTTTTAAAAATATTCATTGATTGTATTTCAAAAGTACTTTTGAAAATATTTTAAAAATACATGAA